ATATATATATATATATATATATATATATATATATATATATATATAGAGGAGCGTTCAAATGAAAACCTATATATATATATATATATATATATATATTTGTATTATATTTGACATTAGAAAGAACATTATTCGTCACAACACTGCTGGCATTAGGGGCCGTTTACCAAACACTTACCCGGAAAGCGTTTATCGGTAAAATTTAACACTTCCATTTACTTACCGGGTAAAACTTTAGTCCACCAAAACGATATCGTATGCAACAATTTACAGACTCATAATAGCCTATTTATATTCAATCGTCGAGATTGAACAAGTCAATTCAATCAAATAAGTTTGAATATCAATGATCAAATAGGATAGAACGGAAAAACGAACTAATACTTAAAAGCATGGTGATACATTTATACAAAACTTCTACCCGGTTCCGCTGCTACCGTGGGCTTTACGCAATCGATCGGATTATATAGATATCCCTTCAATACAACATAGGTAAGCGCTTACCATGGTAAGAGTCGTCGTCTTCATTTACCGGGTAAGACTCTTGGTCCTTGTCTCCCACTTACTGGGTAAGATTCTTGGTCCTTATTATATTCATACTTTAAAATAATGTAATTTGGTAAATACTTACCCAGATAAACATCTGATAAACGACCCCTTACTATTTAATAATGTGTAGATAACATGGAATTTAAAGTAGCCCATAACAAAATGAATTGCATTGTGATAGAATTGATACGAAACTTCCTTGAATAATGGGCAAAGGAACACCAAATAAATTAAGGAGTCGTGCCAATTACTGGAATTCCTCTTTAATATGATATTAGATTAGAGTCAGATAATACTGACTAAAATAAAAGGTGGTGTCTGATTGATTTGAGCTTGGCTTCAAAGGTCAAAAATACTAGGAGGTCTCAGGTTCAAATCCAAGGAGGAATAAAAATCCCCTTGTGGCCATGGAGGTTCAAATGCGGTGACTCCAGGCTATCTGCAAAGCAGGTGGTCGTCCTGAGATTAGTCGGCTCGCATAACGGGTTGGATATCCAGATTAATCAAAATAATAATAATAAAGATGTATTTATCAAATAAGTTATGTCAGATTAAAATCATAAATAGAAGTTCCCACAATTTATAAAATTTATATTTATATTTAAGTACAGTATTTAATGTATTGATTAACATATATTTGTTTTACAAGATGTTTGCTTCATATGTATTCGGTTCACTATATAAAACTTTTTACATGTATTTTTTGTTTCACAAACACACCAAAAAGATTCACATTGTGAATTGAGTACATGTAAAACAAACACATGGTGATACATTGGTTCTTAAAGATCTCACGATTTAGCGAGTTATAAAAAGAAGATTAATCAAACAATTATAATTATATTATAATGATCAAGTCGTTAGAATGATCAAAATACGTTCTATTTAAATGTTTATGATTTGAATATTATCGAGGGTGTTTGCGTAAACAGTTTTTTGTCACATTTTGAGACGTGAAAAAATTTCGAATTATCTTTATATTTTTATTAGAGGTGTTTGTGGACTGGTTTGGAAGGTTTAATCCTACAAACCATAATGACGGTTTTGGAAATTTTTTAAACCGAGCAGTTTGACGTCAAGTGAGCAAACCAGTTAAACTAGATCACAAAAAGACGACCTAACAACCTGGTCTGAAAAGTTTATACGGTTTAGACATATTATCGGCTTTAATTTATTTTTTTTATAGAAAATATAACATCTTTCTTCAAAATGAAATTTCTACCAATATAACATTATTAATAAAATATTTATCCGAATTATAAAAGAGAACATTTATCTTAAAATTAAAAAAAAAACATTGAGCAAGTTGACAACCACAATAGCTGAAATTTTAGACAAACATTGAGCAAATCAAATGATAATTCTGAGTTTTGGATTTTGATTTTTGACAGATTTCTAAGTGGACTTTTTTTAATCAGGCATAAAGTTAAGCCTACAACATTAAACTAAATATAACAAACTTATGTATCTTAAACGTTCAGTTCAGTCACACTATTCATAGAAATGTTTAAATCGCAAATCGGACTGATTTTAACACCTCTACTTTTTATACCAGACTGTGTGATCGTTCAAACCATCAAGAACGGTTTAATTTGACACCATTCGACTGGTTTTAACACCTCTACTTTTTATACCAATTTTCAGGTGAGATACACTTACTTGGCAAGTGCTTAACGCATAAATTTCCTCATCGGATGAACATGAGAAGGGCCAAGAATCTTACCGAGTAAGAGCAATGAAAAGGATGGAGAGTCTTACTCGGTAAGTGAGGATGACGACTCTTATCCAGATAAGCGCTTACCTAGTAAATTATTGCATTCGATATGTTTTGATGTACTAAAATCTTACGCATCTAAATAAATTATAGTGTTGACTCCTATTGGTAAGCGCTTATCGGGTAAGCATTTGGGTAAACGGCCCCTGTAGATACTTTTTGATGTATAATTTTGTAAATGAAAAATAAAATATATCTTAAAAATATTATTTACTTTTTAATTAAATTAAATCACCTCAAAATCATAATATTAATTTTTTAATTTTCTCAAGTCAAACTTTGACTTTTCCAATCAATCATTTTATTCCATATTAATAAAATAATACAAATTAAATCATTTTATTCCATATTTTTAAAATAATTATTGTGACAAATATAAGATGTTAGAGATGGATATGTGTATATAAAGGGTCAAAAGATATCAAGTCAAAGAACCCAAAAAGGAAAACATGAAGAAAATCATATTTGAATTCTTGTTTCTTTCCATTTTGGTGGTTGGGTCCATGGGTGGTGGGGGGTTGAAGATGAAGTATTATGACAACAAATGTGGTTCGGTTTCAGTTGAAAATACAGTACGAGATATCGTATGGAAAAAAGTTGAAGAAAATCCCGCTATGGCTGCCAAGCTTCTAAGGCTTCATTACCATGATTGCTTTGTCAGGGTACGTAATTCAATCGTTGTAGCGACATTTTCATATACATAGTAGATGAATGGTAAGAGCTTTACCGGACAATAGGTGTTAAGTTATGAATCCACAATCACTGCGTTCGTGTAGATTATACACTACAGAGTTGTTTTGTTACTGTTTCTGACTTTTTTCACTTGTTGCAGGGATGTGATGGTTCAATCCTGTTGGACCCTGTTCAAAATACGACAACTGAAAAGACAGCCGGACCTAACAGATCTGTTACTGGGTACGACATAATTGATGAGATAAAGACGACTTTGGAGACTGAATGTCCCGGAATTGTTTCTTGTGCTGACATTGTTGCACTGGCAGCTAGAGACGCCGTTTCTTTCCAGGTAAGACATGTCCATTGCAACTTTTTGTAAATTATATGTCAAATCCAACAATATTGGATCAAAGAGAATAACGATTATCACTCAAATCTCATCCTTCCCTAATTTCAGATTGAAACTTTCTTAAGGGTGGTTTTTTGATATTGAGTATTTTATTTTCGTATTCGTTGGTTTTCATCCTTACCATAAATTGTAGTTTAAAACGGAAATGTGGCCGGTTTTTACCGGAAGAGAAGACGGAAAAGTCTCGTTGGCGGCGGAAGTTGGTGCCAATTTACCATCGGCCAACGCCAATTTTACAACTCTCTTGACCCAATTTGGAAACAAAGAGTTAAACATGGATGATCTTGTAATACTTTCAGGTATTCATTTTTCTAAGATTTGTACGTGTACGTGTGTGCGTACTTACGTATGTATGTACAATTTTGTATACTTCATTTTAAATGCTTTTATGGTCGTCTAAATAAACATTTGTGTATATAACTAGGGGCGCATACAATCGGGAATTCACGTTGTGTCTTGGTTGCGAGAAGACTCTACAACTTTACAGGAATAGGAGACGTTGATCCTTCTCTTAACGCTACTTACGCACAAACATTGAGAAAAATATGTCCGAACCCTCAGAATCCAGCCACTACTCTCGAAATGGATCCCGATAGCTCCCTCACATTTGATTCTGATTACTTCCGGTCTTTAAACCAGCATAAAGGTCTATTTGTATCTGATGCAGCATTACTCACAAACCAACAATCGGCTCAAATGACAGAAGTATTACAAAATCCCGATGTTTTCTTTGCTCGATTTGCTCGATCAATGGTACGAATGGGTGCCATTGAGGTCCTTACAGAAGGTCAAGGAGAAGTTAGAAAAAGTTGCCGAGTCATTAATAGTCAGTGATAACAGGTAGACGTGATTCCTTAACACAGTGTTGTTTGAGTTTGGTGTATCGTTCTTTTTTCGTAACATGTCAAAAAGCAAAAGTAATCTGTAACTTGTAAACTTTCGACTTCAATAAGGTAAAAGTGTGCACTTGAGCCACAAGTTTAAAAAGTTGAGTTGCCTCAAAAATGAAAATAACTTGAAAAATGTCAGGGGCCCTTTACCAAACACTTACCCGGTAAGTGCTTACCGGTAAATTTAACGCTATCATTTACTTACCAGATAAGATTTTAGTCCACCAAAACGGTATCGTATGCAACAATTTACCCGGTAAGCGTTTACCGTGGTAAGAGTCATCGCCTTCACTTACCGGGTAAGACTCTTGATCCTTGTCTCGCTCTTACCGGGTAAGATTATTGATCCTTATCATATTCATCCGGTAAGGTAAAATGACTTGGTGTTCACTTATCCGAGTAAGCGTTTGGTAAATGGCCCCTCAGTCAGATACATTCCAATTGGATTAAATGGGATGAGAGCATCTTATTTCCTTGCATGAAACAATAAGTTCAAAGCAAAGTTTGTCAAAAAGTAAATCCTCCTATTCTTTGAAAATGTAATAACAAAAGCATCCTAAAATGCAATTGTTAGTGCAGGGTTTAATTTCCATAGTAATGGCAATAATTATATAAAATTAAATAAATACTCGATTACAATGTTGTATCGAGTTATGCATCACACGTATATTTGATAGTAACCAAACTAAACAAATCCAATGGAAGTGGGGTCTGGGAAGGATAAGATATAGGCACCCTTTCTTTTACCCCAACGAGTAAAGAAACCATTCCCATTCAACCTGCTCTGAAAACGATGAGTTCAATCTTTCATCTAAATACCGCAAAAGTTAAAAGTGATCAACCCGACAACAAAGCTTACAAGAACCAGTTGTGGAGAAACTACAAACGTATGATAAACTAGAATCCATGGGAATTTAGATAGAAAAGCTCTATAAGTAGCACATGATGTTTAAAGGCCGAGTGAATGTAGCATAATTGCATTTTGTGCATGCATTCGGTTCTCGGCCTGGGGAAAGACGATAGAGTTTGGAGCTTCAATAACCTCGTTAGTAACTTCCACTCCCCTTTCTGCTGGTAAACAGTGCATGAAGTAAGCCTGAGGTCCTGCTATCTTCATAAGTTTTTCATCCACCTGCCAAAACAAATACAGAGACTTGCATCATGTTGGTTGCTGGAGTTAACATTTCAAAGACGAACATGAAGCGCTACCTTATTTTATGAGCTTAATGAAAAAGCCTCGTTTTGTTAGCCATAAGCTAGCTTATTGAAACGCTACTTCTCCAAGGGCTTCCTTCCAATTATGCCCCTTTTATGTCATTTTATACTGTCATCTAACTAATTAGCTAGATTTTACCAAACATGGCAAAGTTTACCGGCTAACAGCTAGCTTTTCAGCTAGTTTGTCAAACATACCCCTTGTCATTCAGCTCCATGATTGTTCCAGTAATCAAAGTGAAAATGCTAATCAACATGATAATTTTATGCCAAAAAAGAATCCAGTTGACCCTTTGAATCCTTTCTAGTGGCATACAGATCAAACACTATCATATTTACATGAGACACAAGCAGTAGTTACCTGGTATTCTTGAAACACTTGACGGCGATATGCAGCTTCTTCCTTTTGGCCCATGCTGGCCCAAACATCTGAATACACAACATCTGCCCCTTTAACAGCTTCTTTTACATCATTAGTGATCTCAATTTTCCCCACTCCAGCTTGTTGAGCTCTTTCAACGGTCTTTGCATCAGGTTCAAAACCTTTGGGGCAGGCACATACAAAATGGAAAGGTAATACAGAAGCCAGCAACAGCCAAGAATGGACGATGTTGTTTCCATCTCCAACATACACTACCTGGATTTCCATGATCATATCAAAATACAGAAAATGAACCAAACCACACAAACCCGGTATATCCAGGGGTTTTTTTTTTCTCTTTTTTAAGGGTGGGGGTGGGAAGATGTATGCTGACCTGACCTACCCCTATCACCCCTATCAAAGTACAGAAAATGAACAAGTCAAATAAGTCCTATTTTAAGCCCAAGGGAAGTACCTTGGTTCCCTCGATTTGACCAATGTGTTCAATTATTGTGAGAGCATCAGCCATGATTTGGCAAGGATGATTATAATCTGTAAGACCATTGATTACAGGTATGCTTGCGTATTTAGCCAGGTCCAAAAGGTCCTACGGCACAAAAAAAGGAGCAATATGAAGTTACACTTACACAAAAAGGTCAATCAGGCAATTGATCATGTCATAAGAAGACTATGCAATTTGTCAACTAACCTGATGAGCAAAGAGTCGAGCCATAATGACATCATTGTAGCGAGATAGAACGCGAGCAACATCACGAGTTTCTTCACGCTTACCCATTTCAATATCCTTGGGGCCCAAATATATAGCATGGCCACCAAGTAGGAAAAATCCAGTTTCAAAGGAAACCCGAGTCCTCATGGAAGGCTTAGCAAATATCATAGCCATTGTTTTCCCTTTAAATGGAAGATATGTTCGCTCTCCTGATTTTAGCAATGCCTTGACTTCTTTGGCTCGGTCCAAAATCTTCAATATGGTTCCCTTGTCAAAATCATTAATGTGCAAAAAGTCCTTGAACCCTGTCTTCTCTGGAAAAAAAAATAACGCATGGAAATCACTTGATCTACATATTGATTGTCTTATGATAATGCCGAAAAGGTCATTCCCCTATTAGCCATTAAGAATGCAAACTATGAGTACCTTCAACACAGGACAACGTAGATCTGATGGACAGAACCTTGGTTGGAATTTTAACAGGCCCCTTGATGGACAGAGCCTTGCCTCCCCGAACAAAATCTGTAGAGCATAAGAACATATGAATGCAAAAACAATATTAGAACATAAGAACATATGAAATGCAAAAACTATATTAAATCAAAGGTTAATCGAATGATATATAAAAACACATGCATACCATAATATATTTATAAATCCAAATCTGCTACCAAGATTAATTTCTCCACCAAACATTCTTAGATTATCCTCACACTTTCACTATGATCAAGTCACTGCATGATGTTTAGTTGCCTCTAATCATCTAAACCTATATGTTCTAATTATCTTCCAACAGTTCCTGGTGGTATATATGATGTAAATTGTTGAAAATTTTACTAAACCCAATAAAATCATGGGTTAGTTACCAATAAGGACAGCCTAACTTTCATGATTCCAACAATTTAACAATGTGCTAAAATTTAGCCAATTTGACAGACAATACCTGTTCTTTTTCCCAAGTAGACATTCTGCTCGATTAAACACATGTAATTGTTAATCAATGCCACATCATCTTTAAAGGCTGAATGTGATGATTCTTTGAAAAAGCAACTTAATCTCTCAATTTTACCAAAAAAAAAATAACAGGACAAAGATATTACTCTCAATGTAAAATCTATAGGAAGATTGTTCTAAATTCAACTTACATTTTTCTATTTATAGCACCTTGTTATAAAGCTCATGTCATGTTTCAAACATTTCTCACAAAGTTTTAGAGTTCATATCAAGATTGAACTTGTCATTTCAAACTAATAGAGCTCAAAAGTCATGAAGCATCCATTTTATGGAACAGTGGTATTACTCATTTAAGTGCAATGATTGACAAAATAGATCGTATGATAGCAAGCACTCTTCTGCTATACAACTAGTAATCTGGTTACATCGTCGGTACTCACTAGTATAAATGGACTTTGTGCATTATTTTGGAAAGATGAAAAAGAATACCAATAAAATCCATTTAACTTAAACGAACATATGCTTATATTATTAATAATAAGATTATATTATAGCCTAAGATAACGGATAGACGAAATAATGGATGAAAGGAACAGAAGATGACCTTTCCTCAGATTGTCCACATTCATGCAAGAGGTAGTGGTCCTAAGCCTGTGAATCTGATCATAGGAACCTTCTAACCCCAGTTTTGTTGGCATCAATCCTGCATACGCCATTTTCTGATACATCCTCCTACATAAAGTAACGATTCCAAATAATTATTTTTCCCTTACAATTTACATCACTTCCTCCCCCAATAAGTAGTTTTACTTTTACTTCTGTAGTCAAACAACCCAATTGTCCTGATCAATGGTGGAGCAAGGAAGTTAGGTATAGGATTCAAGATGTTGAATTGGAAAAAACTATCTGCAAACTATTTGAAAGCCACACACATAAGCAAATTCAAAGTACCAAATAAGTACCCACTTCAACCAAGAAATGCATAACATACCCACCTCAATCCCCAATAAGTACTTTTCGACACCCAAAATCCTTCATCAAGTTAGAACTTTAAAGTTTCAATCCTCTCAGTCACCGATTAATCCCCAATAACAGCAATATCACCAGCATTGAAAAAGCAAAAACAGTTTGCATGTCTCGATCCGAATAAAACCAAGTAAAAATAGAAATTTATTCCAACTAAACTCCAAAACTTAGTTACCTGGTGCGAAAAGCAAAAGCCCTGATTACAATGTGTATCAAGTGATCGATAAACTGCAAATAGAAAGAAAGTGAGTATACATTTCTGATGATATCGCGTATGTGAATGTGTATGAGATAGAGAATCCACCTGRCGGAAGTTGCGGTGGCGGTGGCGGTGGCGATGGTGGTGGAGGAGGGTTTTATTACCAGAGAGTCGAGTCGTTCCTGATAGAAACAAGTTTAGAGAGTGATGGAAGAAACGCTAGTTTTGTGGCAGCCAAATTGATTTGGGTAAATGACATTAATGGTCCATCATCTATCACTCACTTTTCAATTTGTGCCCTCAACTTTTATAGTTGATCACAGTTGGTATTAAAATGAAATTTCTTTCATCAACTACAAATTCGTTTTACCTGCAGATTTAATTGTATTGGTTTAAAAAAAATCAGATTTTTAAGCTTGAATCTCTAAACTGTCAAAAGTCGAAGCAACATGATCACATAAAAATGAAGAAGTAAGTGTTGATATGGGACTTAAATCGTTGCAATATCTGATATCTCAGTCTTCCATTAGAAATGATGCGTGTTTGTGAGTTTCAGTTGTCGTAGATGAATTTATATGCTTCAAAAAGAAAACAAATTCAAGCCAAATGGAACTTGATGAAGATGGCAAAGATAAAAAAGTGACATCTCACGAGAATGGCGATCAAACTCTGTTTCTGTCTCGCAATTGATGGGGTTGCTCATCAATACAAGTCACCAATTTGGAACCTATCAAGTCTCGAGCAGGTTCTTTGCTCCCGCTCAACTTATTTTCATAGTAGATTTTTATGAGGTACGAAAGATACATCCACTAAACTTTGAAGGGTACTTTAGGATATTAAAAAAACACAAGGTACATCAACAAAAAAAATGGTAAAAAATCCCTTGAAATAAACCAAAGAACCAAATAAGTCTCTTGAAGTCAACCAAAAAACCGAAAAAGTCCATCCAAATCAACCAAATCTCTCGAACAATAGAATTATGTTAAAAACACATCGGTTGATCCACCTTGAAGGTGCACCCCTCAACAAAACCACTGACAACCATATTAGATATAATATAGCAGGTATAAATGTAACGGTATAAGCAGACTCGAATAAACATCACTTCTTTTCTTCCAAGTCTTGTGGATTTGTTGATTTCAAATTTGTATCTTTGCCTGTGAATGATAAAAAATGCTTTGAACCACAAGGGTGGTGTCTGATTGGTTTGAGCTTGACTCCAAAGGTCAAAAGTACCAGGAGGTCTCAGGTTCAAATCCAAGGAGGAATAAAAATGCCCTTGTGGCCACGGAGGTTCAAATGCGGTGACTTCTGGCTATCTGCAAAGCAGATGGTCTCCCTGGGATTAGTCGGCTCGCATAGTGGGTTGGATATCCAGGTTAATAAAAAAATGATTTGTTTGACCTCAAAAGTCAAAGCCAATAGCCACAAATATATATAACTATGCTAGAGTAGTCACTTGCTGTACTCAACATCACCCTGCACAAAAATACAATTAAAATGTATTCACATGTAAATCAAAGTCTGTTTATGGCCACAAATGAAAACCATCCCAGCTGAATACAACAGCATTAAAACAGAAATCCATATAAATAACCAAAACACAAATTCAAGAACAAAATCAACTACTTTAAATGCTCCTTTAAGACATGGTTATGGAAAAGAAAAAAAAGAATAATAAACTGACTAGGGGCAAGGCACCATAGTTACATATATTTGAGGTTTACATATAGATCAGCATCTTGTAGACTTAATTCTCCAAAACAGTAAATCGAACCAAGCTGAAAGCCGAATAAATATATATCCGTTGATTTATATTTGATACACATAATCAGATTAGAAACCCTAAGGCAGGCAGCGTTTGGCTGTTTATTTCAACCAAAGATAGTCTGGTTTTGTATCTGAAAACACAAGGTACAGATAGGTGAGATAGTTGCTTGCTTCTATTTCGACAGCATAGGTTCAAAATTACATCAGTTTATTACCAACTAGCCACAACAAAACACAAGTACATAACAGAGTTGCTTTTAAATGCATGACCTTCTGACAAATGTAAGAACATATCTGGCTAACAGAAGAATGCCCTCTTCCTAAAACAAAATTGCCTCAAAATCTGTCGAAGGTCATGCATTAAAAAAAATCTATCAGAAGGGTATTCTCCTAAACACCCCTATACAACACCAATTGAGAAATAACTGGACCAAATCTGTTATAAACAAACTTCCAAGGAAATTAAAAAAAGATGGTTGTAAACTTTGACATTTTTCAAGATTTTTTGATGTGCCCTTCTTATGTTTTACTGTAAATTGGAAATGGAAATTCAAGGTTGCAACATTCTTTTTGTTAAGTATATAATATTTAGAGTGAACTACATTTTTCGTCCTGGGGGGTTTGGTGTTTTAACCGTGTCCCGTCCCTATTTTGAAATTTTAACGAGTTAAATCCATGTGGTTGCATTTTTTTTTGACGAGTTGAGTCTCTAATGCAACTACAGGGACCCAACTCGTTAATTTATTCATGGACCCCGTTCGTTAAAAAACTGCAACCGTAAGGACCCAGCTCGTTAAAAAAACTGCAACCATAGGGACCCAAGTCATTAAAAAATGCAACCACAGGGACATGTTTCACTAATTTTGAAAAATAGGGATGGGATCTGTTAAAAACATCAAATCACATGGACGCAAAATGTAACTCACTCTAATATTTATATATGGCAGAACTCACACACACTCCTCACCTTTGGTGAAGTTTGAACTCTTAACCTCAGGGAGGCTGGTCTCTACCAGTAACCCAAGTACTGCCAGACCAATGAGTCTTTGGTAGTTGTAATATTCTTCTTACACATAAATGAAACACAAGGGAAATATTACCTAAGAATCAAGATTTGGGAGTTGAGATACTCTTTCTATTTCTTTGATAATAAGTTCCTTCTCCTCTTCAAATTGATCATCATCGCCACCTAAAATATGCATGTTAAGAAAAGATGAGCATATGCACAAAGAACTCACAATCGAAATAAAAACTTCCGAGTGACTTGCAAGTAACATATATTAAGCTAACATACCTTTTCCAGCGGATAGATTGTTTAGCAATTCTAGTAACCTTTCATGATTCTTGGCTAATATGACTTTTATTTCTCGAGGTTTATTCGGGTTAGCCACAAAGATCTGCACGTAAAACGTTGCAAGCCAATGAAATATGAACTCTTACAAACTCTCTTCTTCCAAGTGAATGAAATGCAAAATAATGATTACATGTATGTTCTTTAGTCAAGCAAAAAGTTGATTAATTCACATATTGAAACTGATGAAGTAATGGTTATGATCACGAAAAGGAAATACAACATTCACCTTATGAAGATATATTTATCACAACTTCATAGATAAATTTATAGCATGATGGCAACTACATGTTGAGCAACATTTAAAAAAGATGACAGTTTCTCTTTATATTATAGATGCATGAACTTTCTAGTAGCCAAGATTCAGCCTATAAAATCTTTGAGGTGCAATTTCTAAATGAACCTGATTATGGAAAGAATCTCGTATATATCCAACTTTATCTGCATCAGAGAAGAAAATGAAGAAAGCATGAACTACACAAGTCTTTTTCTTTCTTTTATGGATGATAAATACCTACTCTACAAAAACAACTTGACATTGAAATATAACTGTACTAGCAGAAAGCCAACTTTACTGACAATCAAATTTCACAAACATTCACAAATGAAGATTATGTAATCTAAAGGACATCAAATTTCAATTTTAATCTTGCTACCGAAAGTTGGATCTTGTCACATTTCCACTGGATGAGAAAATGTGGGAAGCAGCTTCTTCTATTTGACAGAGGAAAGAGTCCGCACCTTAAAAATATGAAATGCAGAGATCTGGATGTTTTTGCTCGTATCCTGTCAGAAACAATAACAAACAGAGACCTTGAACTTATCAACGGTACAAGTTTGAAGGAAATTAGTAGTGAACATATATGCACTTCATTTAAAAAATTTGGTATTCATAATATCACAACTAGTTATTTCTGGGTGCTGAATTAAAATGTTAGCTAATATCTCACAAGATGTACTTAGAATTTGCAGAATTTTATTACATCCAATTTCGGAACTGTACGCACTATGAAAGCTATGTCAGGTATCTAGGCTTATGGTACAGGGCACCACCATAAAGATAAAACAAGCATAGGCAGACTAATAATTATTGATGATGACTGATAAAAGAGACTAATCAAGTGAAGAACCTAGTAAACATATTGATTAATACTCTAAAAGTCAGACTTAATATCATTTATAAAAATGAAGTTAACAAAGTTTGAATTAGGATAACGATTAGGTAGCTTTAGATATAACTTGTCACATGGCCCACCTTTGTACTCTTCATATTATTGGGTTCTCTGTTGAACAGAATATAGCTTTCAGATATTCACTTAGGCATACGATGAGGCTCAAGGCACAAGTGCCAATGTCCCCTATCAGCTGCTGGCTGCTGCCACCTAAAACAATTCTAAACAACAAAAAAGACTATAAACAGTCACCTCCTCAGTTTTTGCCTCTGCCTAATGGCCCTGTACTCCCCTATTTGCAAACTAAAGCACAGTCACTCCTAAGTCTGTTTGAACCTACAGTCACTGCTCCCCTTCTACAATGTGATGTTTTACCCTGGTTCTAACCTAGGTCTCATTGATCCCCTTAGTCTCTCTTCGAACATTCTTGCATTTTACCCAACACTGTTTTCAAACAATGGCTAAGGAATCTCAGCAGCTGACTGGAATTGGTTGCATTTATTATTTTTTTCAGTAACTGGTTGACTCATGGCATATTGTAATATAACCTGCTCAGATTTGCAAAAGTACATGTTGATTTAATCTGACTTTATGGTTGAATTCTGGCTCATTAAAAGTTGTTCGCCAAGAACACACAAATCTCGAGTGATTTTGCAGGTATCTGTCCGATTTCATGATTATTGTCAAATATTTCACCTGCATGTTACAAGTATCATTATTACTGCATCGTTGTTCGGTATTATTACTACCATTACTGTTGTTTGTCACAACTTGCTTCAATACCCTTCTTCACTGGCATGCTTAGATACATTGCTGCTGGATCATCCTCGTGTCTGTTCGTAGTTATTGCATCAAGGGTGACAGATTTGATAGCACTCGGGTATGAAAATGATGTCTCAGGGTTTAATATGAACTTTTCCACACGTGCCGAGATCCCAATTAAGTTGAATAATACCAACTGCGCTCAACAAAGAATGTTGGTTCAGAATGGACTTGAAAATTATCGGAAGAACAAAACCTAACTAAAGAACCTTCCAACCCAATTAAGGTTAATGGAAAAACAGATGATAGTGCAATTTATTGGCTTTGAGAAATGCTAGGGAACCAGTATTCCATGTAACGAATTCATCAATAACATAGAAATCATGGGTCGTATTCCACTTTTCTGCCAACACCTCATCAAATGCATGTTTCCATTATTTTCTGTATCCGCCAAAATCAATGGATGTGTTTGCTTGGTCCATTATCATCAATAGGGTCACACTAAACTGGATCCTAAATCCACAAAGTGCATTCCTAAGTTAATCTAGATTTCAAAACGAGTTTTATTTTTTGTCCCTCTCTCAGACGACACAGTACTACAGTCGATGTTATTTTTGACCATATAGAGCCTTCTCCTTTCTCAATGGCTCTCACTAGTACATTATTCTACAAGCTTAGTCCCGGTTGCTTTGGATCAGTCAATTGGAGCTGCTCCATTGGACTTATAATCACAAAATTTTAATCAAGTCAACCCAAAACCTGAGTCTCCTCTGCAGCATGATACAGGTGGCTCTTGAGTTCCACAGTCTTCTTCATTACTATACATATCACTACTTAGATCCCACCACCTTGCTCCTCAAATATCCAATTTGAGCTCATGCTCCCCACATACCCATTATGCAATGCACAAGGGTATCTATTCAATCCAGGATTATCTTGCTTACATTACTCTCTCCCCGAATTCATGTAATTCCACTACTGCTATAGATAACTATCTCATTCTTAGGATTGTTAACAACAGGGCCTCAAGGCTATGCTATGCAGGAAGAAAAAGATACCTAGCAGAAATATGATGCACGGGTCTTGACATCTCGTTCTCTTGGAAGGAAGATTATAGGCCATAAGTGGGAATTCATAGTAAAGCTTCATCCTATGGATAAGGCCTGACTTGTTGCTAAGGTGTTCTCACAGGTATATAACTGACCATCAGGATATGTTCTCTAATTTAGCCAAAATGCCATGGGTCAGAATCTGCTTTACTTTAGTTACCTGGATGCCAAAAGTACCTTTCTTGAGGAGGTCTCTATGGATCAGCCACATGGTTTTATGGTTTGTGTATGCTCTCAAGCATTCTCCTAGAGATTGAGTTGGTTCATTCAGTCAATGAGTCAAGTACTCCAACAGTTGAGGTTATCTTGGAGAACAGTGGGTATTCTACATAATAGGCTCAACATGGCAAAAAAAAATGTTTAGGGAGTGTACGTTGATGGGGAGTGTCCTCAAATGAGGTCATCATGAGGACATCAAGCACCTAAAGAAATTCATCCAACGGCAATATAAGGTTACACATCCAGGGAGGCTCAGATGTAATCTCATTCTCAGCAAGGGATACTGCTATGTTCGTGCAAGTATGTTCTTGATCAAGTTTCCAATGAAAGAACCAGGCATAAAGACAGAGACTGTCATCTTGTTCTTGACTGCATTTTCAGAATTACATCTGTTAAGCTTATGCACATTAGGACTCTGTAGCTCAAGCATACCTCCACCAAGTTGTTACAAAAACCTCAAATTGACTTCATATGCAACAAGTTGGGCATGATTGACATCCATTCTCCAATTTGTGTGTGTATATTCAGCGACAACTCAACATTGGTATTCTAGGGCCACACATTTCTTTCTTAATTTCATTCTCAGGCGCCATCCACCATGGTACTGAACGCATGCATGTGTGTGCATGTATGTATTTTTATCTATATTTATGTGTGTATATCTATATATGTACACACACTTACTACGTATGTGTGTGCATATATATATGGATGTATGTGTGCGTATATGTATAGATACATACATGCATAAATGAGCACACGTCCATATATTACATGTTTATACATACACACATACATACATACTAGTATGCATGTGTTTGTGTGTCCAAATACTTGCATACATATGTAGATATATCCACACACACACATACATATCTACAGATACTAGTACACATGCACGCATGCATATTTGTGTATGTGTGTGTGTGTGCATACATATCTACCTATATATACGCACGCGTATGTGTATATATAGGTAGATATGTATGTGTATATCGATATATGTGAGAATATATGTGTGTATTTATACATATATACATATGTGTGCCCCCCTCCCACATAGTAAGATGAAGATCATCTCATATCTTGCAATTGACCTCTTACACAAATGCATCCAACCATAAAGTGAATACAACCTTGAAGCCAAGGATACACGTTACGCGCTACCATCCTGTATGCAAACAATACAATACCAAGAATGTTAGTAATAAACCAGAAAGGCATTTAATTACCTTGAGTAATGTCATCATGACTTTGAAGTGCTGAACTTCTGCAATGTAACGTTTCATTATATGGGAGCTTGGAGGCTCCAAAAGAAACTCGGACAGAAGCTACCATTCACAACGATCCATTCATCAGTTTGTTTCCCAAGCAGATGAACACAAAATAAAAATCAAACAAAATTTTTGTAACCAACCTTCAAGGATTGTCTTCTTGTTACATAGTTACTAGAGGTTAACAGTTTTTCATACTGCTCAAAGAACTGAAATGATGTTAATGAATAAAAATTAGCTACAGGATAAATTTTGTAACTGTGAATGCGGGAAGATAGTACCTTAATATCATAAAAATATAGATGCATAATACCTTTTACTAGTATAATTTAATACTTTTTTTTTTGTATTTACATGGGCTACAACATATGATTATAAAAAAAAGATAGACGAATATCGATGTTCTTTTTGCATATCTACTCATTTATTCAAACAAAATATGGTATACAATTGATAGTGAAATCATGTTTCTGTAATTCCACATATTGAGTGCAATACATGTTAATAATAACCACCTTAATACCACAATAATGTTGAAATAACTGTACCGTTGTACCAATCATCCTTTTTTATTTTTATAATTTTCGTTAATCGCATGCTCATTTTGTTTCATGTTATTGTCTTTATTTCTCATAGCTTTCTGTTCATTACTTCCACCAAGTTTAGGAATCTCCTCGACCAAATTAACAGGATCGATCTAGTTGTTACAATGATAATGGGTGAATATGTAATATTAACATAAAAAGTTTCCGAAAAAGAAAAAGGATCAATTTTCACAGGACATCTCAAGAAGGAAAGTGTTGTAATTTTCATGAAAGTGAGAGTAATTTTTTATTGCCTTTATATTTCAATAGAAAAAGGACTTGTCACTCATGATTTTAACCATTTTAGAGATCATATAAAGTTAATTTTGCCCTTGAACTTTTTAATTGAATAAATCAGGTCCAAAGATTTGTTTTACGTTTTAAAAAAAATTGTTTTCTAATTACTTTTAAGAAAATTGTTTTACGTTTTAAGTTTTTGTATTGATGAGTTAGTATTGATCATAAAATGTTCTCAAGAAGTTAATTTTCAAATCATTACTGTTAGGTTTTCTAATTACTTTCGAGAATATAAAAGTATTCCAAAAAAAGTGTTATTATCTCTACGTACAATATATACAAAAGATCTATGTTAATTAAGGTTGTACACTACCAGCACTTCCTAAAATCTGGTCACAAGTCTATTAAGGGCTTAAAAGCATGCACATTGGGTAGTTCCACATCCAAAGTACTACTCATAAAACATAATTTTAAAGACAGCAGCTGCTGATATTTTCTTTATCTCTTATCTTTTTAATATAGTTATATCTAGAAGAATTAACAAAGATATTGAAATTCTTGGTACAAACTAAAGACAGTTTAAAGTAATTTCATCCCAAAAACGTCAGGATTCGGGATATTTCCAACGCAGCGAGGGTGATTATGAAAATATTTCACAATTACCTAGCCAAGTTTTTAGGAATTCTGTTTGCTGTCACTCATTTAAGAAAATCAAAAGGTATTTAAAATGAAACAACTTCATTAACCATCATAAACCTATACAAGTGAGAAGCAAACCTCATCATAATGAGAAGTTAAGAATTCAGATACTGCAATTGGATGTTTGGTGAGCAGATCCTGATACAATTTTGTATGATAATATGTTAGAGACAGCATGCAACACAGCYTGAAGACAAGTTGTACCTGCCTTTTCTGCCCAACATTTCAACAATTATGACTCAAAGATCTGACCTTAAAGGTGGAAAATGCATCAGAAGCAACATCGAAGTTAGCAAGCTCCACATACTTGAAAAATAGTTCAAAGCTCGGAGACTCCAACATATATCTGAAAAGACATTAATGAATTTCTACTAAAAACACAAAGAACTATGTGAGACAGCAAAAGTCAAGGAATCTTCCTGTTCGAATAGCACAACCATACCGTGAGTAAATAGAACATTTTTCTTAGAAGACCCAAGAAACCACACCCATGAAGGTGAAACTCTTTTTTTAACAACTAATAGCAAATAATGATTCTAATGCATGCTCCCGGGACGCAAAGAATGTTTGTCCATATATATGTCAAGAGAAGCATGCTTGTAAGTAGATTGCATGGAACCAAAGGTAGCAAACAGTCATCACATTTTATTTCACTTCCATCATATTTACACAAGGTTGTTGCAAAGCTAAGCACACATCATTTTCTTGTTTCAGTTTAGCTAAAAGATAAAAGATAGATAGGAACCTCCAAGTTGATAGTAAATGTCTTCCATACAGTTTCTTTCACACAAGAACTTGCCATCATGCAAACAAGACCATG